GATATCATTAAACCGAGCACTTCTCCTTATTGCGCACGCGTTGTACCCGTACGAAAGAAGAATGGTATGTTACGACTTTGCGTGGATTTGCGTCCTCTTAATGACCGGGTAATCAAACAGAAATATCCTTTCCCGTTAATCGAGGATTGTCTGGCACGCCTTTCAGAAAAGAATGTTTTTACTTTACTGGATTTGAAAGATGGTTTTCACCATATAAAAGTACATCCAGAACACACAAAATACTTTTCTTTTGCGACACCTGATGGTCAATTCGAATACAAGCGCTTACCATTCGGATTTTGTGAAGCTCCGGCTGAATTCCAACGCAGGATTGTCCAAATCTTACAACCCTTAATTCGAGAAGATAAAGTTATAGTTTACATAGATGATATCCTGATTCCGTCCATCTCCGTTGATGATAATCTTAACGCATTACGGGATGTACTAATTTTGTTGAAAAGATATTCCTTTCAACTTAACTATTCAAAGTGTTTATTTTTGCGAAACACTTTAGAATATCTTGGATATATTCTTTCTCCATCGGGTATCACTATGAGCTCCCGACATACTGAGGCAATTAAAAATTTTCCTCAACCTACAAAGAAAGTTCAATTACAACAATTTTTAGGGTTGACGAATTATTTTAGAAAGTTTATTAAAAATTATGCCTTAATAGCAAAACCGTTGCATAATTTATTAAAGAAGACCCCTGAATTTGATTTTAATGAAAATTGTTATCAAGCTTTTGTTAGTTTAAAAGAGGCCTTAACTTCTTACCCAGTTCTGCGTCTTTACAATCCAAACGCCGAAACCCAATTGCATACGGATGCAAGTTCCCTGGCACTTGCTGCGATCCTATTACAAAAACAAAGTTCAGATCAATGGACCCCGGTCGCGTATTATAGTCAATCAACTAATGATGCGGAATCACGTTATCATAGTTATGAACTTGAGATGTTAGCCGTTGTCAAATCCATTGAGAGGTTTCACATTTATTTATATGGAATCCAATTCACCGTGATAACGGATTGCCATGCTCTGGTTTACGCGATAAATAAAGCTCACCTTAATCCGCGAATAGCTCGATGGACACTTAGACTACAAACTTATTCCTTTTCGGTCTCTCATCGTCCTGGAACTAAAATGGCATATGTGGATGCTCTCAGCAGGATTGTAGCATCTGTTTCCTTCTTGCCACTAGAAAGAGAATTGGAGTTCAGACAATTAAAAGATTCTTTTATAAAAGAAATAGCCTTGGATTTGGAAACTACAAAAGGCAATAAAGTAAAGGAAAAGTTTGAGATTATAGATGGACTTGTCTTTAAGAAGGGGCCAGACAAATCTCGATTTTACGTTCCAGATTCTATGGTAAACAACATCATAAGGGTTTACCACGACAATATGGCCCATTGTGGGTTAGAGAAAACTATACGAGGAATACTAGAAAATTATTGGTTTCCTTCCTTACGCAAACGTGCTTATCTATATATTGAAAATTGTATAACTTGTTTGTTAGCTAATTCTTCTTCAAATTCTCGAGAAGGAGAAATGCAACTAACAGAAAGTCCGTCCGTCCCCTTTAATATCATTCACATTGACCATTTTGGTCCCATTAATGAGTCTGAGTTAGGTTGCAAATATATTTTAGTAATTATAGATGCTTTTACTAGATTTACGTGGTTGTTTGCCGTGAAGTACTTAAATTCAAAAGAAGTCATTAAATTCTTAACCCTTCTTTTTTCAATGTTTGGCAATCCGCAAAAATTAGTTTCTGATAGAGGGACGGCTTTTACTTCTCTAGAATTTGAAAACTTCCTTAAAGATAAGAAAATTGTACATAGGTTAGTAGCTGTGGCTGCACCTTGGGCAAATGGTTTGGTTGAAAGGGTGAACCGTTTCCTTAAATCTTCACTTGGAAAACTTATTGACGAATCCCAAGACTGGCACGGTAATCTAGAGACGGTCCAATACGTCATAAATAATACCTTTCATTCATCGTTAAAATCTTCACCATCGAAGCTTCTTTTGGGATTCGATCAGAGAAACCATGAAGATGCTTCGCTCGTTGAATTCTTGAATAAAACAGCCAGAACGCTTTTAAACCCTGGTGATGTTAGAGATTCATCTCGAGAATTGGCTTTGGACACTGTAAATAAAATTAAAAATTACAACAAGATTTATTATGATAAAAAACATTTAAAGCCTTCTATTTATAAAAAAGGGGACTATGTCCTCATAAAAGATGTAGCTAAACCAGGTGAAAGTAAGAAATTTAAACCTAAATATAAAGGCCCATACCTTGTGGCGAAGGTTTTGAATAAAAATAGGTATGTCATCACGGACATCCCTGGATTCAACCTTTCACCTAGACCTTATAATTCTATTCTTTCGCCCGATAGAATTAAACCTTGGATCAAACCTGTTAAAAATAATGACTCAGATTAGAATACATCCTAAGAGAAACAAGATATTAACCCTTTTTGTTAAGCAAGCAAAAGTGTCACTTACCTTAAGGTTTATTGATATACTTTTTCTTCCTTTGTAAAACTTAACTGTTCATTTACGTCACACATAAATCTTAACTAAGTTTTGGTTTAATAATTGACATTGTACCTAAAACTTTCACTGTAAATCCACTTTCACTACATTCGATGTAATTTAAACCTTCGAGTCGAACGTTCATGCAGAATGGCCGAACTGAAAGAAATTTCGTGTGTATTGCATACACAACCCAAATTTCTTTTTAGTTTTCTTATTGGTTAATTACTCTGCGCAAATCTGCGCAGAGGGAATGCGCGGTATTTTTGAATCTGCGTGTTGTCGCCAAGCAACAGATATTAACAAGAAATATTGATCTCCGATTTCGCGAGTGTGTGGTGGTTGTTCGCGGACCGTGAGTCCGATAAGACGTATATTTTAATGTACCAGTTCTTAATTAAATAAAATCATTAAAAGTGATTCATTGTGTGCCAGTGTGTTGTAATATTAAAATAAATCTATCAATCTGCTGATAGATTCTATTGCCTTAAAAATATCCTGACATCGATATATTGAGTCGAACTTCCAGCTGAAGCTCTCTTACATATACAGGGTCTACCAAAAGTGTGGAAACCCCTAAATATCTCGGAAAATATACGTTTTACAGAAAAGTGTTTCCAACAAAAGTTGTAGGGTTTAAGAAGATCTATATACTGATTCTATCAGTTTGACCTTGGATGGCGTCGTCAAGGTCAGGTCAAGGTCACATTGACTTTTTTAAATGACACCCCCTACATTTGATTGCATATTCTTATAGCTTAATTCAAGAGCTTTCCAAAACACTATAATAATGTTCATTTTTATTAAGTACTTTGCGAGTTATGAGGGTTGAATGATAGAGTAGCGCCGGTATTAACATTATCCAAGGTGTACTACATGGAGGTTACTCGCTCGGATTTGCATCTGTTGTGTGTGTGATCCAGCTAACTAAGGCAAGATCGGTCGTGGATCCAGTCAGCAAAAGCAAAGACCCAACCAAATTACAATCGAGCATTTAAAGACCTGGAAAGCAATCGACATAGTAAACAGTAAATAAATTTGTGGATGCTCATTTATCATAATAATTGTTCGAAATGTGTGCGTGTGCGTGCGTGCGGTGCGTGTATACAGAGATCAGGTTAGGTTGCACCAAACGATTGCAAATGTGTTTCAATGTGTTAAAGTAAATGCTGAAAGTGGCTGCCATTTACTTCCTGACAATATGCTAATCTTTGGTAGAATGTAGAAATGACTTTACGATTCGTTTCAAAAGGTATCAAAGCCATTTCATCCCTTATTCGCTGTATCAATTCGTGAATGGTTTTAGGTTTTGTTCTGTAAACCTTACTCTTCAGATATCCCCATAGATAATAATCAAGAGGAGTTAGATCTGGTGACCGAGGTGGCCAATCCTCTCCTCCCTCATTTCCGTTCCTTCTTCCTATCCACCGTAGCGGAAAAGTCTCATTTAAAAAAATATTTAAAATAGATAACAATTAATTTCTGCTTGCTCAAAGCTGAAGTTAGAAGGTGCTCGTTCTTTGATAGCTTTATACATTCTTAGTTGAATTTTAAATGCGAGTTAGACTGCATGTAGTGCGTCACATAGCGGTAAATGAAGGAACTAACGAGACGTTTCATACACGTTTTATGGAGCAATTTTTTGGCAATTTGACTTCAGCGAAATATGAGGATATGTTGAGGAATCGATCTTGCCTTAGTTAGCTGGATCACACACACAACAGATGCAAATCCGAGCGAGTAACCTCCATGTAGTACACCTTGGATAATGTTAATACCGGCGCTACTCTATCATTCAACCCTCATAACTCGCAAAGTACTTAATAAAAATGAACATTATTATAGTGTTTTGGAAAGCTCTTGAATTAAGCTATAAGAATATGCAATCAAATGTAGGGGGTGTCATTTAAAAAAGTCAATGTGACCTTGACCTGACCTTGACGACGCCATCCAAGGTCAAACTGATAGAATCAGTATATAGATCTTCTTAAACCCTACAACTTTTGTTGGAAACACTTTTCTGTAAAACGTATATTTTCCGAGATATTTAGGGGTTTCCACACTTTTGGTAGACCCTGTATATCGTTTGTTTATTTTCTGAAAAATAAAATAAATAATGAATAAATTATAATTAATAATGCATATATATATATATATATAATATACATATATATATATATATATATATATACTACTGTGTCCAAAAAGTAAGACCAGTTTTCAATTTAAATCGCGCGGGTAAACCGCACATCATAAATATTTTTTTTCTAAGTTAGCGGCATTGTGACAGACATCTGTGACAAATTTCATGTCAAAACATTCATTACTTTTTGTTTTACGCTTGGTTTTGTACGACGCTAAAATTGCATTCGGCGATTTTTACAATGTCTAATTATATTGAGCAAAGAAGTTGCATTAAATTTTGTTTGCGGAATGAAATTTCGGGTGCAGAAACGTTCAGGATGTTGCAGAAAGCCTTCGGGGACCATGCTTTGTCGGAAAGGAATGTTTACAAGTGGTATAAACATTTCAAAGAAGGTCGGGAAAGTGTTGAAGACGAAGAGCGTTCCGGACGACCATCAACCTCTACTGATGAACAACACGTCAAGAAAATCGAAGAACTTGTGCTTGCTAATCGTCGAATGACTGTTAGAGACCTTGCTGATGCTGTTGGTATTTCGAAAGGATCTGCCAATACCATTTTGAAAGATATTTTGGGCCTGAAACGTGTAAAATCTCGACTAGTGCCAAAAAATCTCAATTTCTTCGAAAAAGAGCGTCGCATTAATATCTGTAAAGAGATGCTTTCTGACTATCAATCGGTTATGAAACGGATTATTACTGGAGATGAGACTTGGATCTATGCTTACGACCCGAAAACCACCGACCAATCCAGTGAATATCGTGCAAAAGGTGAAGCCAAACCGAAAAGATCACGCCAAAGTCGATCGAAAATCAAGATCATGTTGACAGCTTTCATCGATTATCGTGGTGTTGTCCATTCAGAATTCCTTCCACCCGGCCAAACCGTCAACAAAGAGTATTATTTGAGTGTTATGCGTCGTTTGCGTGAAGCTATTCGCAAGAAGAGGCCAGAATTGTGGGCAAATAATTCTTGGTTTTTGCATCACGATAATGCACCTTCTCACACTGCACTCGTTCTTCGTGACTTTTTTGCCAAAAATTCGATCCATATCGTTCCACAACCACCGTATTCGCCTGATTTAGCACCGTGTGACTTCTGGCTATTCCCGAAACTCAAAAGACCACTGCGGGGAAATCGTTTTGAGACGATAGAAGAGATACAACGTGAATCGCTACGCGCTCTGAAAGCCATCCCGGAAGGCGACTTTAATTCTTGTTTCGAGGACTGGAAAATACGTTGGCATAAGTGTATTGTGTCGGGAGGGGATTACTTTGAAGGCGACGAAATAGATTTGGAAGAATAAATAAATATTTTTTGAAATAAATAAAAACTGGTCTTACTTTTTGGACACAGTAGTATATATATATATGCATTATTATAATTTATTCATTATTTATTTTATTTTTCAGAAAATAAACAAAACAAAAGAGGAGGCGGCCGGGCCCGAGCTAGGTGGTACATACAACGGGGCAGGGGCAACAGGAGCGGCTGGGGCGGCCGAGGAGACGGCCGCGGCCGAGGAGTCGGCCGAGCCCGCGGAGTCGGCCGAGCCCGCGGAGGCCGAAGAGGCGGATGGGGGGATACAATTATTAAAAACTATTATTATTATTAAAAATTTTAAAAATTATTATTATGAATAAAAAATATAATTAATAATTTGTAGAATATTTATTTATCCAATATTTTATCCTTTCCTTTTATCCTTTATTCCTAGATATTTTTTTCTCCTATATATGAATGTGGTATAATAGGGCTCCAGGCGAAGGTCCACATAAGAAAACCTAACGCGCCATTGGTGATACCCCGTGGGTGGTGTGGAAAATCGCCACTCATTAATTTTTTTTATTTTATTATTTTAAATGTATATATATATATATATATATATATATATATATAGAGAGAGAGAGAGAGAGAGAGAGAGAAAACAAGTGTTAAATTATTATAAAAAACTAAATAGTTTTATAATATATTTTTGTAATATAATTAGTACATATTTATATTTGTACGGTGTATATATATATATATATATATATATATATATATATATATATATAAATACATTATAAATATATTTATAAATATATATATACAAGGTCTACCAAAAGTGTGGAAACCCCTAAATATCTCGGAAAATATACGTTTTACAGAAAAGTGTTTCCAACAAAAGTTGTAGGGTTTAAGAAGATCTATATACTGATTCTATCAGTTTGACCTTGGATGGCGTCGTCAAGGTCAGGTCAAGGTCACATTGACTTTTTTAAATGACACCCCCTACATTTGATTGCATATTCTTATAGCTTAATTCAAGAGCTTTCCAAAACACTATAATAATGTTCATTTTTATTAAGTACTTTGCGAGTTATGAGGGTTGAATGATAGAGTAGCGCCGGTATTAACATTATCCAAGGTGTACTACATGGAGGTTACTCGCTCGGATTTGCATCTGTTGTGTGTGTGATCCAGCTAACTAAGGCAAGATCGATTCCTCAACATATCCTCATATTTCGCTGAAGTCAAATTGCTGAAAAAATTGCTCCATAAAACGTGTATGAAACGTCTCGTTAGTTCCTTCATTTACCGCTATGTGACGCACTACATGCAGTCTAACTCGCATTTAAAATTCAACTAAGAATGTATAAAGCTATCAAAGAACGAGCACCTTCTAACTTCAGCTTTGAGCAAGCAGAAATTAATTGTTATCGTCCAAATACAACGTACGATTAATTAAAATTAAACGTTTTAAAAATGGCTGGCGACTTGTCGGAACGTGAAAGAATCACTATCCTCATGATGCGTGGATGGGGTGATAACGAAAGATCGTTCTCTGATGTCGTTCGATTATTTAATGACACGTATCCGAACCGTCGAATTAATAAGTCCACTGTGTTAAAAACAATAGAACGTTTTAGACAAACTGGTAGCGTAAGAAATCGCTCTAAGTCAGGAAGACCATTGTCTGCAACCAACGAAGAAAAACAACTTGATGTTCTGCAGACATTTATTGAAGATCCCAATTCTAGTGTTCAGAGAGTCGCTCAAACTCACGATATTGCTCCCATGTCGGTTTGGAGAATTTTAAAGAAGAACAAGTTCCATCCATATAAATTGCAATACGTTCAAGAATTGCAAAACGGAGATGAGGAGCGTCGTATACATTTCTGTGAAAGAATGATGGCACTAATAGATGTCCGGCCCATCTTCCCTTATCAAATTGTTTTCACAGACGAGGCAACTTTTACCTTAACGGGAGAAGTTAATAATCAAAATTTTCGTTTCTGGTCAGATGAGAATCCGAATTGGGTGCGGGAAACTCACACACAACATCCACAAAAAATAAATGTATGGTGCGGAATAATAGATGGCTATTTAATAGGGCCGTTTTTTTTTGAAGAATATTTGAACGCTCAAAGGTATGAGAGATTACTTGTTGATCAAATAATTCCAGCCATACAGAATACTTTTCCAAATAATTTCCAAGAAATATGGTTTCAGCATGATGGAGCTCCTGCTCATTTTGGTGCAGGACCACGTCGTATTTTAAATGAGACTTTTCCGCTACGGTGGATAGGAAGAAGGAACGGAAATGAGGGAGGAGAGGATTGGCCACCTCGGTCACCAGATCTAACTCCTCTTGATTATTATCTATGGGGATATCTGAAGAGTAAGGTTTACAGAACAAAACCTAAAACCATTCACGAATTGATACAGCGAATAAGGGATGAAATGGCTTTGATACCTTTTGAAACGAATCGTAAAGTCATTTCTACATTCTACCAAAGATTAGCATATTGTCAGGAAGTAAATGGCAGCCACTTTCAGCATTTACTTTAACACATTGAAACACATTTGCAATCGTTTGGTGCAACCTAACCTGATCTCTGTATACACGCACCGCACGCACGCACACGCACACATTTCGAACAATTATTATGATAAATGAGCATCCACAAATTTATTTACTGTTTACTATGTCGATTGCTTTCCAGGTCTTTAAATGCTCGATTGTAATTTGGTTGGGTCTTTGCTTTTGCTGACTGGATCCACGACCGATCTTGCCTTAGTTAGCTGGATCACACACACAACAGATGCAAATCCGAGCGAGTAACCTCCATGTAGTACACCTTGGATAATGTTAATACCGGCGCTACTCTATCATTCAACCCTCATAACTCGCAAATACTTAATAAAAATGAACATTATTATAGTGTTTTGGAAAGCTCTTGAATTAAGCTATAAGAATATGCAATCAAATGTAGGGGGTGTCATTTAAAAAAGTCAATGTGACCTTGACCTGACCTTGACGACGCCATCCAAGGTCAAACTGATAGAATCAGTATATAGATCTTCTTAAACCCTACAACTTTTGTTGGAAACACTTTTCTGTAAAACGTATATTTTCCGAGATATTTAGGGGTTTCCACACTTTTGGTAGACCCTGTATATACATATATATATATATTATAAATATATTAAATATTATATATATATATAATACAAATATAATTATTTAAATATTATTCTTTATAATATGTTTATAATATGTATGTGTATACATATATATACACAGATACATATTATAAACACATTATACAATAAAAATGCTGTAAAAGAAACATTGAGCGCATATCGAAATATCGAGGAGCGTGACGCGTCGCGTATTGCCCGTCTTTCGGTAGGAAGGAGACAGAAGACTGTATTCTGTCCTCTTCTACTATCCGAAGCTAGCCGAAGCGCCGAGCTCACACGTACGCTTACGCTTACATCCTCATTACCCCCTCCACGCCGTGTTGCATGTTGCTTGCGGCGGAGATCTGGCAGCTTTGAGATAAGGTCGACGTTAATAATAGAGCGGAGCGGATGCGTTCGACGCAGGCCTGGAAGAGACGTAATATAAAATATGCAATTCGCGCGACGCGCGATTTATATAATATTTATATAATATTTATATAATATTAATGTAATATTTATATAACACATACGCGCCTCCGCAGGCTCGCGTCGTTTCGACGCGCCGAGGAGGGAGCGACAAGCGGCCTCGAGCGTTTCCATCGCGTCTTACGCGTCGCTCGAATGTAAATTCGAATATTTTTTTTTTCTTTCCGTTTGTAAAAAAGGCGCGCGATGTATCGGGAGAGCACGCGGAGCGCGGCGGTGTTTCTCGCCTCGTCTCGTCGTAGACGTCGGACGCGAGTTCACCGCGCAAGAGCGCACCGCTCGAATTTTAACCTAAATGAGCGCGCGTTTCGTAAACGAGCGTACGATGTATCGGGAGAACACGTCGCGAGTAGAGGCGTCTCTCTCGTCGACGGAGGTCGTCGATAGAGGTCGTCGATCCTTCGTTCTGGAGAACGCGTCGGTCGGACGAGGGCCTCGTCGCGCACGCGCGATATCGCGTCTTAGCGCGATATCGCGGTCGTCGCGCGTTCTCGGACTCGCCGCTTATCTCTCCTTTTAAGCGCGATAACGAGAGAGGAGCGGGATTCCGTTAGGATTTACTCGCGCGCGCGCGAGGGATATTCGCGGCGACGCTTCCGTCGCCGTTTCTTCCCCTCGAGCGCGTCACGCTAAGACGAGAGGGATATTCGCGGCGACGCTTCCGTCGTCGTTTCTTTCTCTCGAACGCGCAGCGGCGAGAGACGCGCGCGCGATAACGCGCGCCGAATCCGGTCGAATGCGGTATTTCGACGGATTCGTCTTTTCCGAAGGCGAAAACCGCGCGACCGCGGAGAAATTTTTTCCCGCTCGCCCGACGTCGTCGTCGTCGTCGTCACTCGAACGAGTGAGTATAAAGACGCCGACGGTCGTTTCGAGGCGCGCACACGCCTCGCGGATGATCGCGATCGGTCTATCCGATCGTTTCTCGGGAAGATAGGTTCGCGAACGACGAGGCGCGCGTATGAGAGGTGCGAGTTCCGCCAGAGTCGTCTCTACCGTCGACGGTAGAGCGGCGGAAAAGGAAGAGAAGTTGGCGCGCCCGATAAACGACAACGTCGAGTTGAAGGAGAGCGATGGAACGTCGCGACGTATTATCTGAGAAGAGCCGTTCAAACGCACAGTCGGCGCGAGGAGTTGTGGGTCGAGACGGTTCTGGCCGAGAGTCGCAGAGCCCTCGTTTACAACGTTAAACTAGACAGGTGGTTTGACGCGAAGTATCCGAGGTCGAAGTACCCGAAGGGTTATCCGTATCCAGAGGGTTGGAAATTCCACTCGTTCGATTATCCCCAACCGGAAGTTCGATATTTCTCGCCGCTCGCGCGCTGCGAGATTCTCCTGCCCGAGGATAACGCGGGTAAAACTCTGCGA